AAATGTATAAAGACTTTGTTTTTCACTTAAACAAGTCAGTGAATGGATCATATCACAGGCAATTAGAGCAAAAGCAAACCATCAATGAAAGTTTCTAATGTGATTTAATAGACTGCATAAATATATAGCAACTCGTCTCAAACACTTTAGAAAAGTCTGTTTGCTCGTTCACACTTATTTCATATTTAAATAATGTATGCTGAATTAAATCCAAGGATGTACACAGATTTAAAGTAAATTAGATACGTTCCAATTGGATCCTGGTCATAAAGACGGTCAAGCTGAGTTTATTGTGCAACTTGGTAAAAAGAAATAGGTCCAGATTTAAAGCTACGAAGCAAACTGTGTTGATTCACTGAGTCTGCAACAACTGCTCTTCTGGTGCAAGAATGTGCCAATAGAGGACAGCCAAAAATGTAACAATAATAAAAAGTAGGATGGTCAATTTTAATTGTTTTCACATACATACAATATGTATGTTTAGATGTTTTTGTTTACTTTTTCTGGTTCATTTTGTAAAATGTTGCTGCAAGAGTCTTGACTGACACAGAGAATATGGATCACACCACAACAATCTTTAACTCACTGCAGTGGCTCCATGATTTTCTACAGCTAGATTTTGAAATCATATTAATGATCTCTAAGGCAACCTCTAGCTACATTTCTACAGCTGTTTTTCAGGTTTAAACCATTTCAACGACACAATGCAAGCAAGATGGAGTGAATACTGCAACTCAATGACTCAGAACAATCTGCTGGGTTTTCTTTGATTGAAAACTTTAAACAATTTGAATAATCCCTTGAATTTATAAACATTTGATTTCCATCTGAAAGCAAAGAAACGTCAATATGTTTTTGCCGAGGAATCTGAAATTGTCCCAGAATACAACAATCATTGCATCTCAAGATAGCATTATCCTTGAACGTTTTTATGTGCAGACCACTTATTTGATAAGACAGGTGGCATGCAATCAAGGAGCTAACATTTACAATCATCATAGAAATTGTAAAACACTCTACAGGCTATTAAACCCACAGCAAATGATGATACGCACACGGTTGGACGGAAAAACTATAACTGAACAAATACACTGACATGCCACTTGAAATTCTGCGTTTGATTAAAGCTTTGCAAACCAAACCTCAGCTGGCAGACCGGAAGAACTACGGGACAGCGTTTTCACTGGATGCTCACAAACCAGCCCAGTGACACACTTTCACATTCATACCCAGGGGCATTCCACTGACTCAGACTAACACACCGAGTTATACACAGTAATCACAGAGATAGAAGGCCACCCAGCCAGCGTGGAGGTCTTATGTCACCACTGTCACGAGGCAAAACGGGGCACCTTGGATGACAGTGACAGCAGTCATAGCTGAGGTACGTGCCCTACCAGAAAAAGGAAGAGCCGACCCGCAACAAACCCAACCCAGTCGGACACGAGAAGAGTACTTGTCAAACACGATTCCCAATGATGCTTGATCATTTGTCTTTGCCAATCCAATGTTCCAAGGCGACAGGAACAGGAACATCGTTGTGGCCTCGTGAGACAGGACAGAGAGTGCCTGTGCTCTCACAACCTCTGCACCAGTGCTGCTGGTGACAGTTTAAGAGCTGCAGGTGGAGCTGCCAAGTGATGAGGTTTAGAGCAGCTCAGAAACTGAAATCAATAAAACCAAATCCGAGTCTCCTGCAAGTGTTTTATGTATGACTTCCAAACACCAACTATTTTCCCAACAGTCTCTCTCTGCTCTCTTTTAAGAAAAAACAGCTACGTACTTGAAAGCTGTGGCATGGAAAGTCTGTTGCGGTGAGTTAAAAGGGGGCTTAATTACATTTTATTAGTGCGGACAGATTATCAAAACGAACAGAAAAATTTGAACCCCAAATGGAGCTCTGAGAGGTTTGTGATTTTCCGCTAAGTGATGACAGCAGCTGGAAATTCTGAGGCTCTCCAGCCCGAGTAAAGTAAACACCATCTACCAGTGGTGAATCAGTGACACGGCTCCTTATATTCTCTGCAGGCTTTTGTCACCGAAGTTTCTGTGCTCTGGAAGGTCTGATGTATTATACAGCACAGAGGCTCAAGATCTAAGAGCGACTCCCTCGCTCTGAGACCTCCCAATTGCACTCACAAGCCTTTCAGGGAACTCAGAGAGGTTCAAAGAACGTGGCTAAGGTCGGGCCACTGGTCAACAGGGATGAAACCATGTTTTTTTCTGTTCTATTTGGATGCTAATATAGGTTATACTGCCTGTCCCCTTCACATGCAAAGATGTTTCCACTTTAAGTAACAAGGGAATTGATGTGATGGGGTACAGCGGGGTAACATGCAGTGTTTGTGTTATGGACACAAGCACAATCTCTACGTAGAGGGCAGAACGATCCACCCGTAGAAGTGCTTAATGAATGAATAATGCCTGCTGTTGTAATAACTTAAAATATGAGTGAAAGTAAGAGGGAAGTCCTAATAACAGAGAGAAATGCAGCCTCAAAAATTACAACTAAATGTACTAGTTAAAGAAAGCCACTGACGCATTAGTCCATCAGATTGTAATAGACCTGTTTTGCCCTGATTGACTACGATTGATACTAGAACATCACATTTCTTCTTCTTCATTAAATGCGTCAAAACTCAAAATAAAAACACAATTTCGATTCCATAAACATAGGTAATAAAGCAGCATGTACTTATATGCTTTTTAGTTTAATAAAAATCTGAAATACCAGGTAAATACACTCCTTGGCATTTCTGCATTTTCAACAATGTTTATCAGAGAAGTTAAACTGTATAAATATAAACAGTACTGATGAACACTGTTTCAGTATTGGCTGCTCTTTGCTAAACAAAAATGGAGCACATTTTTCTTCTGTCAGATATACATTAAGAAATAAAAATTGTAATGGTCATAAAAATATGAATTGTCGTGTCAGACCACAATCAAAACTGGAAATTGGTACTGGCCATCACGATACTGATCGGCGTATTTCTTGCTACACTGACTCTAATAATTAAAAAATAATCTGCAGCTAATTTTTTCTCTTTTTTTACGACATACGTAAGGGGGGAAAAAATAAACAAAATCTGAATGAGCAAGAAGAGGCCTGATCAGTGCTTCCCATGCAGCAATGACTTAATTTTTATTTTTTAAAGACTGAAGCAGGGGTGAACTTTTTGCTTTTGTCTAAAATAGGGCTTAGGGGAAGAAAAGCAAAATTAACAGGACGGATCTCAAAGAAAACCAATGATTAGAGTTTGCCAGGCTGAGCTGATCGATGTATCCCTGAAACTGAACATATTAAGATCAGACAAAAAGCAAGAAATTGACAAATAATTTAACATAATAGTTTAATTACAATTAAATGATTTTGTTTTATTTTTAGCATAGTACAGTGTTTTCCAGCACTGGAAATCGGGTCTCCTTTTGGCGCCGCAAATCAAGAGTAAGATGATGACTGCTATCACTTATACAGCTGAAAGTAATGCTCTACACCAATAAAATCATGTCCCAAATGAATAGACACCCAGTTTTCTGCATCGTCCTGCAAGAAATAGAGGCGTTTTGAGTCTCAACTAAGTCCTTTAAATTTTAAATATAAAACCTATAGTTCACCATGATTTTATGGAAGACATTTCTACAGAGAAGAGGCTTTAAATCTTTTGGAACACAATGGAGGTATCGAAGAAGAAAGAGGAATAACAGAAGGAAGAAGAAAATGTGGAACACAAGAAAAACACAAGAAAGAAGGAAGTAAAAATGGACTTGAGGAAGGAAGACAGGAAAAAAATAAATTACACATGCAAGGAAAAAAAACAAGCAAGGAAGAAAGGCTGGACCAGAAAAGATGGACCAGGGAAAGTAGGAAAGAAAGAACATAAAGAAGCAAAGAAGCGATAACCTGTAGAGACAAGAAAGGAAATAAGAAAATTGGTTGGAAGAAATTAAAGAGGGATACAAGGAAAAAAGGAAACTAGTAAAGGACAAAAGGAAAGAAGGAAAAATGGAAGTCATGAAGAAAAGTGATGGCATATGAACCCTGCATCACTCAAAAACAGTCAACTACGATTAAAGTGGAGCCCTGCTTTTAGAAAGTGAATCAACAACTTGAAGAACTTAAAAATGTGCAACACGTTGGATAAGTTCATGTTTAAATATGGCTTAGAAGGTGAAATCACTAAAACGTCCCTAAAATAGGTGATACTCCCCCCCAGCGTTTTCTTGCCATTTCCCAGTGTGGCATACCCTGTTAGAAAATGTTTCCATAACAAAGTCAAAAGAATTGCCCATGTCTGTGACTGAGAGCCACCATCCATCTCTTAAGCTTAATTAGCACAGAGCACACAGTGTTAAAAGTCGATATGGAAAACAAGCTGCGCTCTGAAGCTGCTCGAGTTAAACATTCATTGACTGACGCACAAAAACAAGAGGATAACTGGCTTCTCAGATACAATTTTCAACGGAAGATAAGTGTAATTTCCTTCGCCTGTTTTTGCAGTCATATAAAATAAATAAATAACAGGGCTAGTAGAATTGTCTGATGAGGGGGTGGGGGGGCTTGTTGTTGTTGTTGTTGTTTTTGCGCAGCGACGCACTACGAAATGCAAAATGGCCACATGGTCGTAGTAACCTTCAGCTCTGCTCTCTGGATCCATCCCTCTGACTTGTGCGCCTTCAAAACAATGCGTCGGATGCCGCTGTTGGATTTCCTCCCTTTGGGTTCACGTTGAGAAGAATGCATGGGCTTATAAAATAATACTACGTTATTTGGGTTATCTATGTGGGCACACATGGTGTAAACACACTGCTTCAATAACAGGCGCGCGCCAAGCCTACACTGGCGTATTTAATTCAAAATAATCTTAAAGTAATAATTTATTCACTGTTGATACATTAAAAAAAACTGTTTATATTGCTCGCAAAGATTACAAGCTTTCAGACATATTGAGAGTGGAGGAATAAATAATAGCATTTACTCCATCCATCCTAATACTTACTCTCTCCATGAGTGGATCGCACGCAGACAGAAGAAAAAAACAGCAGCAAACCCCAAAACAAGGTCAGGCTACCCATCGATGTTTCTGCTCCCACGTTCATTATTTTCCTTTCAAAAAACGCGAAAAAAAAAATCTGAAACGAAATAGCAGGTCCGTACGCGTCCGCCCCCCTCGCAAGAGATCCTGCACATTCAAAATACAATCAGGAATTAAAAAAAAAAAAAAAAAAGGAAAAATAAATGTCTGTAGCCCGAAAGGCTACTACTCTTTAGCAGCCTCCAAACGTGCGTGCAGATCTACTTAAAAATATAAATAAATGCGATCTGATTGGAGAGGGGAGGCGTTTTTGATCGCAAAGAAAAATCCCCAAAATGCAGTCTGCTATTTTCGCCGATCACTGCACACTTTGGCTGGTGTGGCACGCGGGCCAGTGATTTTCCTGGATAAATGATGGTAATCCCCATCTTCATTCTCCATTTCTTAAAAAACAGCAGTGCGCCTCCAGTGTGTTAAGGCCTGGCGTGGAAAATAAAAACACAAGTCTGCCTAGATTATGATGATGATGATGATGATTATTATTATTAATTATAATTCCACAAGCAGCCCAATAAATCGTTCACAGCATTCCACTCGTGAACAAGGCTGAATGATGAAGAGGAGGGCGAAAAAAAAAAACAAACAAACAAAAAAACAACAACACACGGACAGATCCACAGGGGTGGTGGCTGAGAGGGGCTGAAAAATGAATGAAACCCCCCACCCCTCTCCACCGTTTTTGCCTATTCCATCCAGCAAGCACAGGCTATATAGTAGGATCCCCGCAGAGCAGTCCCGGCTCGGTTTGGAAACCAAATGTCTCCCGTTCGCTCCTCTCGGACTGATCCCCCTCCGTCAGTCTGGGTTTACAGCTGAAAGAAAATACCAGACTTGTGCCACGCAAGAGAATGGATGTGCAGCTAGACGAGCTCGGCTGGGGTGGGAGGGAGAGCGTGGCCACGCAGTTGCCTTTTTTTACGAGTGATTCTTTTCTTTTCCCCCGTTTTTGTTTCTGCTCTGATCCCCACGCCAACGTGAAAACAACTAAACAAACAAACAAAAGAAAAAACAACGCAGAAAAAAATTGATAAAATAAAAAATAGTCCGGTTGCGCGTAAAATCCAGAGGATGAAACGGTTCAGACTCGCCCTCGGTTCGCGCAGGCTGTTGCGGGTCTCAGTCCCTCCGTGGAATCGCTGCTCCAAACAAGAGTCGGCGTCTCTCACACAGAAAACACATAGCTTTACGGATGAAGTGGGGAGCGTCGTGAAAACCCGGAGTGGATCGAGATCCAGATCCCAAAAGAGCACCGCGCCAAACGGAAAACAGCACAGGTACAGTGGTGAGATATTAAAATATCGTCAAAAGATTCTATTGTATTCTTATTTCTAAAAGTGATCGCCATAGATAGTCGTTACAGATAGAGCTGAATATTTCAAATTTATTTCTGGCCATTTGAAATTAAAACCAAACTTCAGTGTCTCTGAAAATTGGAATATTGTGAAAAAGTGTAATATTTGAATTATATGGTAGCACACCTTAATCAGGTGATAAACTCAAAGCATCTGCAATTGCTTCATTGTGCTTTCTCTCTCAGTCTGGGTCAGGAGGAAACACAATGATGGGGAAGAATCCATATCTTCCCCATTGACAACCTCAGCAAGCCAGGAAGCCACAAAGGTCACTGCTAAAGAAACTGGCTGCTCACAGAGTGCTGCAGTTTGGTCAAAAATCCTCTTTCCAGATGGAAGTCAAATTTGCAATTCCATTTGGAAATCAAGCTCCTAGAGCCTGGAGGACGACTGGAATTCATGCTGGTTGAAGTTGTATGTTTTATGAAGCAAACTGATCTTTCCTGGAACCCACAGTATTATCAAGGCAAAGATGAGAGACACCAGACCCAACAAGGCAGATGACCTGAAGGCAGCCATCAAAGTAATCTGGGCTTTCATGACAACTGAGTTGTCATGAAAGAATGGCATGGCATTGTTAATAAGTGCAACGATGCCTTGCCATGCAATTATTGATACAAAGCCGGCAAAACCGAGTAGTAAATGTTTAGAAATGAACCTGGCAATTCTGTTTAAAATATCATTCATATATTAATCATCTGTAATATTCCAGTTTTCTGAGACTCTCAATATTCAGTTACACAATTACACAATCAAATTAAATCATATATGACTTTGTACCCCCAGAATAGCTTTATTGCAAAGCTTTTTTTTTCCCAAAAAAACATATTTTGCATGACAAGATCTTATCATTATGAACTAGACAAATTGTCTCATATTGGCTGCATTTTGTCAGTAAAGTATTCACCTATCATCTCGCACTACTTTGGAACTGCAAGCACAAAATAACATCTATAATTGCGTATCGTCTCATCTTAATTGAATCAGAGTGGGCAGCTTTTAACAAAACACTAAAGACTAAAAGTCAAAACTAACATTTTTATTTACATTTGTGAATCAGAGATCATTAAAAATATGTGTTGTGTCTTTGCTTTGCAAATAATGCCAAACTTCCCTATTTTTCTGGATGTTCACTGGATGTCCAGGTTGTGTCAAGCAAGCTGTGCAGAAAACACAGATTGCTGAAAGGTTAGGGAGAAATGTTGGTCTGATTAGTAGAAATGGTATTCATACCACTTTGGGTGGGGCAGCTCTCATACACACTCACTCTTAAAGTCATTTCAGAACCACTAATTAACCCAGCATGCATGTTTTTGGACAGTGGGAGGAAGCCCCACAGCCACTACTGGCTGCGTAACTTAACGCCGAATAAATGGAGAAAATCGGAAGGCAAGGGACATTCCTCTAATTTAAAAGAAGTTTATTTGGTCAGGAAACAAGGCTCCAACAAATGCAGAACTGATTTTGTTTCACACATAACAGAACAAGAAAGCCCCAGATTTAAATTCAGCTCTGATTGACAGAGCTCTTGTTTATTCACATAAAAACTCAGGAGGAAACAAAAGCAACCTTTCACGACCTTCTTCTATTTTTATTGTAACAAACTTTTGAGGCATTCTTTCAACTTCTTATGCATCATCACATAAACCAGTTTCTTAAATAACTGTAAAACCTGGTCAGCAGGTAGAGGATTTTATAGTATGGTGTGACAATGGTTTTAATTGACTGAAGTTTTCCCCGTGAGTTTTCTCTTTTCACTACCATCAGTAGTGAAAAAAGACAATGAAATGTTCGTAATGACCTGGCTGTTAGAAAAATGGTCAATTGGTGTGTAAAAACCGGATTGATCTAAAAAGTCTTACCAGACATTTTGCTGTAAAAGATTTTGAATGAAATTGTTTCTTCAACAATCAGATTATATCTAAGGAATTTGGCTTCATTTGCTGCATGAATAAGGACCTGATCAGGTGTTTGTTTTTTGCTCTTTGTTTTTTGTTTATTTATAACATTTCCATATGAATATATTATCTTCTAATACCACTAATAGTAGTCGATAAGAAAGGAATAAATAAAGGTTATATAAAACTTTAGGTAGAAAATAATGCTGTTCACTGAAGGTGAGGGGAAAATCCCAAAAAGGAGCAACAACATTCTCTTCTTGTAGAAAATATGATGGTTTTGTGGATTTGGTTTGACCCACTGTTCTTTTAAACAGTACAGGTTTTCAATTATTCTTCACCACGGCTAATGTTGTTAGCTGTGATGTTCTTCAGTTCAAGAAAAAGGAGAAGCATACTCTGCATTGTACTACAATGAGTATATTACTGGTTTCTTCCTCTAAGGGGAACTCTGCTGCCAGCTTCTGTATATTAATACACATGAGCTGCAAATGTTGATGTGTAATACCTTACACATTGCAGAGACGTCTTGCAAAGTCTCAGTATCTTTTGAAAAGACAGCTATTTTAAGAAAGACTCAGTTATATTTTGCAATAGCTGGTAGGTCCATTTCCATTTTACACTATTGCTACGTAGAAAGGAAAGTGGAGGATTACAGCTTTATTGCTTGATTAAATTTGGAGAATTTTGTTGGGGAAAAAAAATATAAACCATTTTCAATATTGAGTTATTTAATGCACAGAATACACTAAAGTGACACTGAAAACCCTCCTTGTTGGCGTGAAGGAAAATCTGGCATGGATCTCTGGCTTCAACGGCACGACCAACTCTCCCTTCATCCCACACAAACAGCAGAGACATCGCACTGTGTTCATTCTGATGCCTCCATCCCGATACAGGTTTGCTTATAGTTTTTTTTTTTTCAACAGAAGAGAAACTCAGCCAACGAGTCTAATTTTTAGATCGCTTTTTACTACTGTCTCTGACCCTGAACCCATTTAAAAATAACCGTCATAGTTTCCAGTTAGTGTTTCGGTTGTGCCCCCTGCTGCTCCACCAAGCACGTTACAAAAAACGCAGACAATTTTCAACCGATCCCGGGAAAACGAAAAAAAAAAAAAGTCACAAACCAAGTCAATAATGTACAAACAGGAATAAGTAAAAGAAAGAAAAAAAATTAGTTACAATGCACAGTACTATAAAATGTCCAAATAGGAAGTAGAAAATGTAAATGTGAACTGTTCAGAAAAAATATGTTTATAGAAATGAGAACACCCTTACAATTATTATGTACACAATTTGAGCATTGTGAGCTTTTTGTGTGTGACATCTAAAATTATTTTTACTTTGAATGTACAGTAATAAGAACATACCAAATCAAATCTTATTTGTGTAGCACTTCTCAGCAGCAACAAGGCATTTCAAAAGTGCTTTACATCATAAAAACACAAACTCATTGAACACACAGTCAACAACTGAAACATTACATTTTGTAAAGAGTCATTGTTATGTTTAACAATCAACATGTTTGTTAAACATAATAATCAATGAAACACTGATTCAAAAGCAATCCTAAACAGGCAGGTCTTTAGCTTAGATCATTTAACAACAGATCACAGTTAAACAGTTGGAAAACCATCAACTTGCTGGGTATTTTCATGCAAGCTCTAAATTTTGATGAGCACCCTTGAAGTACTTTGAGAATGTTTTTTTTTTTTTTTTTTGGTACAGACTGACAATTTCATCAAGACTGACAAAACCAAACATTGATTCATTACAGCTTGAACTCCTCTGGTTGAGACGTTTTAAGAAACTCGAAGTGCTTTACTTCTCAATTTACCATCTATCTGACTCCTGTTCTCACATGGCTTATTTCCTATATCTGAGCACCCATAATCAGATCTCTCCAAGTACAAGCAGTTCAAGAAAGTCACAGTTGAAAAAACATTCTAAGATAGGTATGACCTCAGAAACTGGCTTGAAAATACTTGTAGGTGATTTCTTTTCTTTGTGCAGTAGCACTGAATAATAAAGCGCTGTGTAACATACCGAAACTGATGTCTATTGGGATGGACATTCAACTTTTAAAGAAATCCTGCAATTTAATGATAGAAAAAATTTAAAATACTACCACTGGATATACTTAAGCTTATGCTGAGAGCTATTTTTCTAGACTGCTATGAACATAAATTAATATTTTTGATGGAAAAGACTTCCTCCCTTTCTCTGGTTTCATAAGAATGTTCATCTCATCTGAAACCTAAAGCCCAACAGTGTCAATTTAGGAGTCTGAACTTCATTGCTTTTGTTTAATAAGAAACCAATATGTAACAAGTATCATTTAAATAGCAAATTTCCTCCTTTCTTACTGATTTAAAAGCAGAAAAATATCATGTTCATTCCAATGGGCTTGGGGTCTGAGGGCATTAATTGTGATAAAATTATGCAATTAATTTTGCTGCTCAATTTAGTGTGGTTCAGTTAACAAAAACATAAGCCCTAAAACCAACTGGGAATTTCAATCAAAACAGACATTGGTGTTTGCAGGTACTTTCTGTTCAGACTGACTGACCTGAAACTGGATTTTTTTGTAAAAAAGAATCAACATATTAGCTGAACAAAAGTGCTTTTCATAACTTTAGGGTTTTTATTTAACCTAAAAACAAATTTTAAAAACCTATGCTTTCCTTCTACTTTGAAGGCTTTCATGCTATACATCATGAAAGCCTAAAACATACACTGAAGTTTGTGATTGGAAACTAGAAATTGGAACCATTTATTCTTCAATGACTGCAAAACAGTTTTCTTAAAAATAAAAAGGTAACTACAGATGGAGTTGCCTTGACAAATCACAAAACCATCGGCAGCATGTTTAGGCTTA